CAGCCATACCCCAACATAGTTCAAAAGGACGTACCATCTATTACCATCACTTTCGGCACATTAATTACGTATAGCGCTATCCTTTATAGAGGTACCCTGAGCATGGAAGACAAGATTCGCATTATTTATTATAACTGTCAATCAAATTGTTAGCACAAATCACACAGAAAATTATCAGATTTGAGACTTTACAACATAAATAAACCGCCTTTTTATTTATTTAAATCGCATAGCAGCAAGAAATGTTACATTTAAAATGGAAGATGTTACTTATAAAGCTGGCAAATGAAGAATTTGAAAAAATTACAGCTGACAACTGGAAGAAAGTGTGTGAACATGTGGAAAGTGATTAATTTAAAAGAGAAGTTATATTTGGTTGATGTTGCTGAACTTTATAATACCTAAGTGTTAATAATGACAGTGATGATTCGAATTTGTCAATTTCATCTGACGATGATTCGGATTGTGAGCTTTTACAAACGTAATGAATGTTCACTAAATGAGTATTATCACCAATTGGATATCATTGTTAAGGTGTTGTATTTATTTTAAATAAATGTACACGTGTAGCTTACTTACTACAATTAGCACTATAATTTCAAAAAGAAACCCCACCGAATGGACATATGCCGAAAGGTAGGCAAGACGCGTAGCGACCAAAATTTGATATTGCACGCACACACAGTCTAAAAACTCGTTTTCCTAAGAATATTGGACGGATCCTTCTTTGTGATCATGATATAAACGCACTGCATCAACATCATATAGGCCAAAATAATAATTGGAAACGAATTCACTTCCTGTCGCAACAATTTCCTTTACCATTACGCCTAAAACCATGCAATTAAAATTAAAATGTTGAACATAAACTTTACTTACTTACGGTTTTTTTGATATTCTGCAAGCCAGCAATGAATTCAATGCAGCACATCATGCCAAACAGGGTAAACATTATCCCAAATTTGAATGGCGTAGTTCGATGTAATAAAACTATTTCAGGAATAACAATTATGGACGCGTCTATCATTATGGCAAGCACTAATGTTATTCGTATTCAATTGATAACGCAATAATTACATAATATTTAGTGAAAAAACCGCCCATCATGTTTAGGGCGAATATTTTTAGTTAGATTGGATTTCGCGCTATCGTGAAATGTGTCAACTGTCACATGACTTATGGGACGCGCTAAGTTTGTTTTAAGCGTCCGATTCGCGTACGACATAGTGGTTAATGCAATAAAAAGAGATAGAACATGTTTCATCTTGGTTAGAAAGTAATGGAGAGATGTACAAATTTCTTTGATATGTTTTTTAAAAACCGAGGTACGTTTGTTAAGGATGGCTGTATCTAGGTATTTATATATCTATGCATACCCACGACTACAGTGCCCTCTATCCGTGACCACCCATTTTGTATTGAAAGCATAGGGATAATAGCAGTCCATGTACTATATGGTCTAAGATGCTAATGCACGATTTAACGTCACGTCAGCGATTTGTTCGTTGGTTTGATATTTCTTCCCGCTTTTGTGATCATTGGGGTATCTGCGAATCTCACCTTAGGTTTATCTGGCACTTCGAAGAAAACTATGCGGTGTCGGGTCAGAATGTGAGGAAGTTTGAGTGTAATCATTATTTCTCGCAAAAGTATGGTTTTAGTCGTTGATGGAAACATGTCTGGAGTTTGCCTTTAACTTCTATAGTAAAATATTTATCATTTCGATCTCGCACTTCATAGGGGCCTTCGTATGGTGCTTGTAATGGAGATCGTACGTAGTCTTTCCCTTACCAGTACGTGTGAGCAGCTAGACAACTCTCGAAACACAAAGATGTTGGATTGTCTGGCGTGGTTGGTCGCAGGAATGGGTTGCATTTCATTGAAATGTTTGCGTAATTGTACCACAAACTCTGATTGTACTGATTGAGAGCTCTGGTCGCAGGTTACGAAGCAAACTTGGTAAATTTATAGTTGTTCCATATATTAGTTCTGCCGACGTTGAATTGAAGTCCTCGCGGAAATGCCGTGCGTAATCCTAACAAGACAATCGGAAGTATCCGTGTCCAATTCTGCTGGTTGTGACATGTGATTGCGGTCTTCAAAGTCCTATGCCATCTCTCGATGAGACCGTTGGCTTGCGGGTTGTATGCAGTTGTGCGTTGTCGTTTAAATCCTATTAATTTACCGAGTTCAGAAAATAAGGCCGATTCAAATTGGCGACCTTGGTCGGTGACAACGGTAGTTGGTGTCCCGAATCGTGTTATCCAATTGTCAAATACGGCACGAGCTACTGTTTCTGCTCGGATGTCTGCAACGGGTACTGCCTCGACCCATCGCGTATATCGGTCGATTAACGTTACGCAGTATCGCTTATCTTCAGACGTTGGTAGTGGGCCTATTATGTCTAGATGGATGTGTTCAAATCTCCTGATATTTTCTGGAAATTTTCCAACTTGCGATTTTACGTGGCGTGTAATTTTTGCAATTTGGCAGTTGGGGCACGTTTTTGTCCAGTGATGGATGTCGCGTTTCATATTATGCCATACAAAATTTTTTGTTATAGTCTTTATGCCGGATCTTATACCTGGGTGAGCTAATTTGTGGACGCTTTCAAAAACTGTTCTTTGGAACTTCTTCGGTACGTACGGGCGTTGGTGTCCTGTTGAAACGTCACAGTAAATTGTTTTATTTGTTCCAAGTATCGAGATCCGTTTGAGTTGCAACGTTGTACTTCCTTGTAAAAGTTTTGTGAGCTGTTCATCCGTCGTTTGTGCATCTGCGAGCTCCTCATAATTAATGGTACTAGGAATTGATAATTGTTCCACTCGCGAAAGTGTGTCCGCTACCACGTTATCTTTACCCGAAATATGTTGGATATCTGTGGTGAATTGGAACACTAAATCGAGGTGTCTCTGTTGTCTTGGGGATGCCTTCTCCGGTTTTTGTCGGTAGGCATATGTGAGCGGCTTGTGATCCGTAAATAATGTGAACGGACGGCCTTCTATTATGGGTCGAAAGTGTTTAATGCTTGAATACGCTGCCAGTAATTCCCTGTCGTATGCGCTGTATCGACGTTGCGTGTCGGTAAGCTTTGCGGAAAAAAAACTGAGGGGCTGCCAATGGCCTCGTACTGCCTGCTGTACGACTGCACCAATCGCTATGTCCGATGCGTCTACCATTACTGCTAGTTTAGCTTCGGGTATTGGGTGAGCCAAAACTGTTGCTTCTGCTAGTTGTCGTTTGGTCTCTTCGAATGCTGTGCGACAGCTGGTGGACCATTCTATCTTAGTTTTGTCATTTTTTGTAGAACCTTTCAAAAGATCAGTGAGTGGTGCTTGTTTCGAGCAGCTTGCGGTAAAAACTTTCTATAAAAGTTCAGCATACCTAGGAATCTTCTTAGGTCCTTAACGGTTCGTGGTGGTTTATAATCTACGATGGCTTGTACACGTCCTTGTGCCGGTCCAATTCCATTCTCATTAACAGAATGCCCGAGAAATGTAACTTCGGGTTGCCCAAATACGCACTTTCCTGTGTTGATGACAAGGCCATACTGTTGAAGACGTTGGAAAACTTGTTCGATGTGTTTCAGATGTTCTACGTCGTTTGTAGAAGCGATTAAAATGTCGTCAATGTAAGAAAAACAAAAATCTAATCCGCGTAAAACCGAGTGTATAAACCGTTGAAATGTTTGTGCTGCATTTCGCAAACCGAATGTCATGCGAGTAAATTCAAACAACCCGAACGGTGTTGATATGGCGGTTTTGGGGACATCGCTTGGTTCAACTGGTATTTGATGATACGCTCTCACTAAATCCAGTGTGGAGAAGATCTTGCATCCATTCAGATTGTGTGTAAAATCACTTAGGAGTGGTATGGGGTACCTATCGGGGACTGTGACCGCATTTAGACCACGGTAATCTCCACAGGGTCTCCACTGGCCGTTAGTTTTCTTAACTAATTGAAGTGGACTGGCCCATTCGCTATCCGATGGCCGGCAAATTCCTTGGGACATCATGAACTCGAATTGATCCTTAGCGATTTTCAGTTTTTCCGTAGAAAGTCTTCTTGTTTTTGATGTTACTGGTGCACCTTTAGTTTCAATAACATGTGTAACGTTATGCTTCACAGTGTCGGGCGAAAATATTTTCTCCACTGTTATATCTTTGAACTTACGTAGTAATGTTACGATGCTGTGGTTGCCTATGTTATCTGAGATAGGAGTGAGAGACAATGGTGTATTGATTTTAGATATTTGTGCGAGTGAATGAATTGAACTTAACGGATCGATGATGCGTCGCCGTTTTACATCTACTATTAATCCATAATAATGTATAAAATCTGCACCAATTATGGGTTTCTTCACATCCGCGATAATAAATTTCCAGTTGAAATTTCGACGTAGACCTAGTTCTAGACGTATAGTACGTGTGCCATATGTGTGGATTGTTGAATGATTCGCTGCGTATAATGGCGAGCCGCGGTTGCACTCATTTTTTTCTTTGACATTGGCAGGTATTACGGAA